AATCTCCAGGTTCTGTGCTGACACCCTGCTCCTCTCCATGGTGATGGGCTGCAGTGCCCGCTCCTTGTTGATAGATGCTTATTGCCATCAGGACTGCAGGGCACAAAATGCACTGAAAACAGGCCAGCCACAAAAACAGCTCCTCTGAGTTGATTTCTGCTGTGTCAGGAGAAAATAAGTCTATAGAGGAAAATACAAGAGGGAGCTGGGACAATCAAACACAGCACAGGGGAGAGACTGCTAAATAAAAGCAGTGGCAGTGATGTGCCCTCAGTGAGGAATCGCTGCCTTCTCCACAAAGAGTTAACACTGGATCAGCACAATCCCTATTTTTAACTGTCTCCAGCAGTTTCCTAGCAGCCTGCTTTGACTGGGTTATGCTGAAGGCCTGCCTTAATGTTAGTGCCATTGGGGAAAAGAGGAATTCCTGTGCTGGCCCGGGAGCGGCAGGACATTCCCAGAGTGTCCTGCTTTGCTCATTGCCTTTTCCAAAGCTTCTGTCTGGTTGAAATAAGAGCCCTTCCAAAATTTCCAAGCAATTAAATTAAAACTCCTTGGAAGGCAGGCCTGGATTGCCTTTCAGGAAGGGAGCCTGACTGCAAGCAAAGTTAGCTGCTGTTGAACTGTACAGCAACGCTTGGAGCAGTTTGCCCTCCCATGGCCAGTTCGAGCTTGCAGCTTCTGCTCTCCAGTGCTGCCACAGAGGTTTCCTTTGGCTCAGATGGATTCAGACTCTGGATTACCATTGTGCTCTTTGCCTGTGTCTTTACTCCAACCCCCAGGATAATCTGCCTGAAAGGGAGAGCAGGGGGTTTGCCGGAGCAAAGTGCTCTTGTGGACAGTGCCCAGCACCGCCTTCTCCAGCACTACCTGCTTCCTTGCAGGTAGTTCTGAGTGCTTTGGGATACCATGGGCCTGTTCTGCATTTCGTGGTTTGGTCACTAGTTTGTGGTTTGTTGAGGCTCTTGTGTAAGCTCCAAAATACCCAGAGCTGCTGCACCTCAGTGGGGACACCTGACAGGGATTGCAGGCCGGAGCACTGCTGGGTACGAGCCCTCTGGACACTTCTGCATTCACAAGACAAGTGAAAATGACCTCAAGTTGTGCCAGGGGAGGTTCAGGTTGGACATCAGATAGAATTTTTTCACTGAAAGGGTGGTTAGTCATTGGAACAAGCTACCCATGGCAGTGGTGGAGTCACCATCTCTGGAGGTGTTCAAAACAGGAGCAAATGTGGTCCTTTGTGATATGGTTTAGGGGGTTTGGCAGTGCTGGACTTGAAGATGTCAGAGGTCTTTTCCAACCTTTTTGATTCTATGGTTCATGGATCCTGTTGTGAGGTCATTCCTCCATTCTGAGGCCAGATCCCTCACATATCTCTTACGTTTGAGCAACCCCACTGCAGGATGTGCCTGCAACAGCGGTGCAGAGAGCCCATTGGCCTGGCATGGGTGGGATCAGCAGAGCCACAGAGCAAATGGGATGAAAACAGGAAACTCTTTTGCTTTTCATCAGGGTTTTGCATGGGAAAACGAGAGATTAAATGCATACTCCTAATTTCTGCACTCTATTTTAAAACTGCATTTCCTGAGATTCAGACTTGCAGGCATTTAGGCAGAAGACAGCAGTAGATAGGTTGGTTCCTTCCTCCTGCCCACCATCTTCAGTGACATCCCAGTAAACAACCAGGTATGAAGCACTGATGTTTCGTTCCTCCACCTATCTGTCAAAAAACTTTTTCTAATTTGCCTTTTGAATTTGTTGGGTTTCTTTTCCCCAGCATCTTCAGTAGATTCCCTAACCTCAACTATTCTTGCAGCCCAGTCTATCTGCAGTGGATTTCTAGGCAGTAAGTGCATGACATAGAGCAGTTGTCTCCCTGGTGTTCTACGGTGTCCCCAGCCTGATTCTCCAGGAGACAAAACACAGGAATCTGGTCCCTGTTAGCAGGCCATTAGCACCAGCAACATCCAGAATTGAATGTCTTGGTCTTTGAGCAGCCAGCAGTTACTGCACAGTGTCCAGTGCAGCAAGTGTGGAAAGCCAGATGATTTTAATGACAGGGTGTCCATTGAAGTCTCTGGTTTGCAGGAGGTTGTGATAATTTCCTCTTTCTCCCAGATAAAAGAAATGCAGAGTAAGAGAAGTTCCTTGGCCACTGCTGGGTGGACACTTTGAATATCTCATTTAATTTACTAGATAATGATCACATTTATGGAACAGCTTGTTTCAATTTTCTCATTATCACTAACTGAGATGATAGCTTATTTAATCCACTTCTGCACCACTTCACACACAATGAGAAATGTGGGAAGGAAAGTCATTCAGAAGAGTATGTGGAGCCCTGGCGTAAGCAGGTTGGTACAGATGAACCTTCAGTGTGGAAGGCTCAGGTTTCTGATGAAGGTCACTAATAGGAAGCCATATGGAACTGAGCAGCTCTGCAGGACCTGTGCTGTTGTCCATTCAGGACTCGGGTCATGCTGGAGTTCAGTGGCTGAACCAGATGCCAAAGCTTTTTCTCTGAGACAGTAAGAAGCCTGTGCTGTTAAAAGACTGATATATTGTCTGCCAAGAGGACTGAAGCAAATGATGAATGAGATCAGAGATGAATTTGCTCTAATACTAATACGTTATATGTAAGAGCACAGAGTGTTTCCGCTGATTCTGAAAGAAATTTAATCCTCTGCCACTGAGAAGGAAATGGGCTTGTGAGTCTGAGGAAGGAATGCATCATAATCCCAGAAGAAGTAGGCAGTGATTTCTTGGCACTGGGGATTTGGCAGGATTTTGATGTGGAACAGGAGCAGGTTTAGCCAGTGGATTTCAGCAATGGCAAATGGGGTGAAGGACACCTGTGGTCTCTTGGCTGTCCCTGGGCTGCTGTGTCTGTTTTCATATCCTTACCCATATAATGGTAGAAAGATTAATTATTCAGAGTTTTCACATGGAAGAGAACAAGTTCTCATGCTGCTAAACCACCTCCTTCCCTGATCACAGGGCATGGAAGGCCCTGCCATGGGAGAGGATGGGATCCCAGCTTCACTGTCAGCCATGGAGGAGAATCCCCTGACGGCTCAAAGGGAACTGCCAGAGAACTCTGACATTGTCTCTTGATTTTTCCGATGTGACAAACAAACAAACCCACCTGCTGTCCAAAGCAGAGCAGGCAGAATGTGACTAAAGGATTATATTTACCTTCACACCTTTATGAAGGCTTATGCAGACCCCTGAAGTGTAAAGCAAAATTATCCCTCTTATTTCAGTTGGCTTCTCAAGAAGGAGGTACACAAGAGGGGCCTGAAGTTTTCACACACTGAGCTGTGTTCAATGTCTCCCCCAAGAACCTTCTGGAGAAGTCAAATGAAAAGCCAGGTGTGCATTGCAGGGGGATTTGTTTTTCCAAATAGAAACTATAAGATGAGGAGAAAAGCTGTGTTTTCAAAAGCAAGGAACTCTTAGGAGTCCAGTTGTAAATCAGACTTTCCTGGATCCATTATGTAAAATATCTGCTTGACCTGTAGCGGTTTAGGATTCATTCTTTAAATATTCTTTTGAGCACCAGCGTCAGAGCTCTGTCTAAAAAGTCCTTTATAATGGGCTGTTCTGCCTTCAGCTCCTACTCATTTTATGCTAATTGCTGACAAGTCATAATTTTCCAGTAAACCACTCAGAATAAGCTCCATGCAGATATTAATGACACAATAAGTCTTTGAGCAGCCACCGAGACTGAAACATGAAAAGCTAAAGGCATTTCCTTTTGGGATTTGACCCCCCGATGTACTGCTTGTCTTCTAGGCAACAGGCACAAATTCTGTGTGTGGATGGCTGCTTTCTAATCCCCAGCTCACACTGATGAGTTGAGCAGCTACCTACAGGATTGGCTGCGTGAGGATGAGAGTGACTGGCTTGCAATTCCTGCCCAGACTTAGGGGAATGAGGTGCCCAGGTCCCACCAACTCTGGTAGCAGGCAGTGCCACATTTACTGAGCATTTCTGGAATCCAAGCTGTTTCCTCTGGCACTGCCAGCTGCACTTCTACTCCAGCCTTAGGGAGGGGTGGCTGTGAGCTGTGTGACATGGAGGGGTGGCCAGGGTGCCCTGATGGTCAGTGGAATGGTCAGACAGGACTGGGGGTACCACTGCTGCCTGAGGAAAGAGTCCACTGCAGGCAGGCCCAGGAAGGGAAGCACCAGGAGGAATTTCTGGCCAGATCACCTCAGCTAAGGAATAAATCCTCCCGTGCATTTAGCCCTGCAGACACACATCTGCTGTCCAGCGGTGAGCGGGGGAAATTCTACAGAGTGAGCTCGTTCCAGGAAGCTTTAGTCTTATTGGTTTTTGGAGGAAACCCAGAAAAAATTCCATTGGAAAACTGAGAGCTATTATGCAGGATAACTGTTAAGTGACTTGGTATTTGCCCTTGGAGACCAGCTCTCCCAACTTTATCAAAAATTATATAAGTTGATTCTCCAGTTTTGTGTCACTGCAGGCCCAGGGTAGTGTTTTCTACAGAAGGATCATGATGTTCAACAATTGTCATCGTATTTCTGTTCTTTTTTTATGTGTAGAACAAAAAGGAAAATTAGAAAGAAAATTTCTAATGTAATGTAAATTTTCCTACTGACTTGTTTCTCTTTAGAGTCCAGTAAGTTGTGGAACACTGCACATTTTTCAGTCCTTTCAGTTATTTTATTAAGTAACTCCTAGTATCACTTATGGTTGTTTAAAGAGAGGAAAATGGGACTTTTCCTGTCTGCCAATTAATTTATTGTGATTAGCACACAATCTTCAGGGCATCACCACCACCTGTGGGCCTTTCCTTCTTGGGAAAGAGGCAAGTAATCAATTCTTACAAATAGCTCAGGCTGTGGTGGAGTTGAACTGGTTAGGAGCTGATGAATAGCTTCCTCTTCTTTCCTTTGGTTTTGAATGGGCAGGCTGTGCTGCTCTAAGCATCTCTAATTTGCAGGGAAGGCTCAGTTGTCCATTTGGGACCAGTCCATTTGGGACCAGGGCTGGCACTGGTTGTGGCTGGAAGAGGATGGGGAGACCCAAACAAGTGGTTTCTGCTATTCAAAGTGACCATTCAGTATTTCCCCTCCACCTGCAGTGCCCTGCTCCACACCCTGCCTGGTGAAGGCATTGGGAGGGACTTTCCAAGGCCTCCACGTAGCTCTTACATCTGTCCCATACCTGTGAGCTTGGGCTGAGTCATCCCCCAGGCAGGTCCTGGCAGAAAACCTCTGTGACTCAGGAGCTCCCAGGAGCACAGCAGCTGGGAAGAGCCACCAAATAAGGGAAGCTTTCTCCTTGCCACCACGCTGCTGATCTGCCTGGGGGCAAACAGGACATTCAGATGTTCTCATAGGCTTAGGAAGGGAAAGGAGTGAATAGAAAACAGAACAGAATGGGAACAGGGGTGGAAGCAGGAAAGCCATTTTGGCCTGGTGGGCTGTACTGCTGCCTATACCAAAGTCTCTTCCCGTCATCCCAGTCACACGAAAGAGGCTTCACTGCTCACCAGAAAACCGATGAAAGGTGCACAGTGCAGAAAGCAGAGGATGGAAAGCTTTGTTAAACACTGATGATCAGTGCCCAACACAAGTATCTTCTGCTTCAGAAGAGTGCCCAGTGTTGGGAGAGCAGTGCTGAGCCTCAGCCTGTGCCGTGGGGGGCATTCTGGAGAGCAGAAGGGCTGGGTTTGTGTCAGTCACCAAGGATCTGGGCAGGGTACACACCGTGGGCACTTCAGAGGGTCATGGCCATCGCCAGGAGACAGCTAATGTTGCGGTCAAAGAATGAGCCACAATGAAACTGTGGCAGCCTGAAGTGGCCGTGTCCACTGTGATGTGAGTGAGTGAGGGCAAAGCCAGCCTGCACTTCCCAATAAATGTTACATTGTGGTGTCATTAGCAGGCTAGGCAGCAAGGCTAAGGATTAGTCCTTTGAAGTTCCCAGCCCTCTCCCACTCCGCTGTCCTGCGCTTGGGGCTGTTTGAGGCCAAATGGTGTCTCTGTGCTCGCAAGGAGCTGTCATTCTGTCAGGAGCTAGTTAGAACTGACAGATAATGCTTGATTTTACATTATAACCCGTTTTTTCCCCCCACGCCGACTGTACATGTCTCTTCATGCCCAGGCCGTGTCATTTCCGTTTGTTTCCGCTTCTTACATCTCTCTTTGGCCGGGCTCTCCTCCTCCCCGCCTGCAGAGCACACGTGAGGTTTGGGCTGTGCCCGGAGCTGTGCAGACTTGCAGTGCTGTGCTTCCAAGCTCACTCCTCACCAGGGGAAGGGATGGCACAGCCTGGGTTGGGTGGCACCAGGACAAGCAGGAGGCAAAGCCAACAGCTTGCCACTGCTCCCATGGTAGGTGTGGTATGACCAGCAGCAAAGGTCTAAGTACAAATGAGTAATCTCCCTTTCGGCCCCTTTCAGCAATTTTGTCTTTCATAATTGAAAAAAAATAAATTTACATCCCTTTGTGCTCCATTGCTGCATTCTGAAGGCCACTAAATGTCTCTTTGCTGAACTAATCTTTAAGGTCCCTTTCAACCCAAACCATTCTAGGATTCAATACAGCTTATCATCAGTGTGGCTCCAGCTGAATCTAAACCACCCCTGTGCTCACAAGTGTTGTGCATCAGACAGCTGGGATGTCCTGGGGTGCCATCAGGCACAGGAAGCCCATGGGGCAGATTGATGCTTAATTCAAATCTCCTGAGCCCCAGTCGAGAGCTTTTAAATATCTGACCACTCTTTCTCACCTGATCTGGAAAAGCAGCAAAGCAACTTGTCCAGTGTTAAACACATCAGTAGTTTTGCTTGGATTGGCAAATCCTGTCACCACCAAATGCACTCATTTTAAGGTGTCCCAGTTTTAGGAAGATAAAAATAAAACTTATTCCATTTAAATAATTTGGCAGTTCATTTAAACCTTGCAGGAGTCAAGGCCAAGCTGTACAGCTTGTGTTAAAAGAAAGAGCTACAAAAGTGCAAGCATGTTTTTCCTTCAGGGGAAAAACCCCCACCATTTTCAGATTGCCATGACAAGTTCTTATATATTTATCTTTTTCTTCCCCATTGATGTGTTGGAGGTAGCTAATAAGCTGGTAAGGCTGATTATAATAGATCCAAAACCAGGACTCGGAGAGATTCCCCGCAGCCCATATCCGACAGGTCTTGTCACTTGGATGCATTTGTGAAAAGCTGGTTTGTCTCTCAGATGACAGATGCTTTGATGAGCTAATCATCTCATTTCCGTGAACTGCACATCTGTAAAAACAAAAGGGGATGAGACTCGAACAAGTGACTAAGCCCTATTCTTGTTTGCATTGTTTCATTGCTATTATTTGAGTGGAGCTGCTGTGGAGCTGCCTGCCCCACGCCAGCTCACAGGTGATGTGACATGTGCTATTTTGAGCAGATGACTCCTCTCTGGGGTCTGCTCACCACAAAGCCCACAAGAGGTTTTTTGCCCACACCTGGTGGTCTCTGACCCCAGGAGCAACCAGCCTTGGCTCAGCCAACCTCTCATCTCATGAATGTGTTGCTCCAGCTTAGGAGGCAGATAGAAAGGGCAAAGCTGAGGAGGCAACAGCATTGCAGAGGTTCCTGGGGGTGACAGATGCTCTTCTCCATTTCCTGGGGGTGGCAGATGCTCTTCTCCATTTCCTGCACCAGTGGCCAGTGTTCATCCCCACTGCTGGGTCTCCTCAAAGCCACAAGCAGCAAGAGGGTCCTCCTCGAGCTCGACACATGTGGAACAAGTGCTGGCCGGGGGACAGGGGTCAAGACCCTGCCACAACTTTTCTGCCAGGGCCATCAACTTTGTGAGATCACCTGCTCCAGGAGGCAGTAGCTCTCTCATCCATGTTAGCCTGGGCAGAAGCTCGATGCTAACAGGTGGTTTCCTGCCTTTGTTATTGCCTTTCTTATTTCCCATTATTTTTTCAGTGTTTGTGCTCAGCAGCCAGTGAGGCACAAAGATGAACAACCCTGCTGAGGCTTTTTATACCTTTTCTGTGCTTTTTCTTTATATTGTGGCACTTTTAGGCTGAAGCACCAAGGGTTCTGAGTTCCCACAGAACGCAGAGGAACTAGGGGCAGTTCAGTGGCTCAGTCCTGATGCTGAAAGTCCTCACATCCATCCTGTGCATCAAACCCTCCAGCCCATGTATTCATTCTGGAGAAGGGTCCAACAAAGAAATTTAGTGTGTGGTAACTAATTTACCTTTGTTGTCCACATCTAGTTAATTTAGATTAAATTTCCTGTATGTACTTTACCAGTCATGTTTTCTTCTTTAACTTTGTGGTCCTAGGTTTCACTCCCTTGTTTCAGTGTTTTCTGGATTAATTTTACAGCAAAATAAATTGTAACTATGTCAATCCACCAGTATGATTATCTGAATCAGGAAGTTTGTTTTTTCTGTAGTTTTTTTGTACAATAGATCTGTGATGAAGGAGGAGCAGATAAAGATCCTTGAGGGAGGGATATGCCCAGCTACTGAGGCCACAAATCCTCAGAAGTTTGTTTCCTTTTTTCAGTTCAAACATGAATTTATGAGAAGGACACATTGTATGTCCTCCACCTCCGCCTGTCCAGAGCCATTTATTTCAAAGCAAGAAGTTTTTTTTGCTCTGAAGTGGAAGTTTAAAAGGAAATTATCAGGTACTTTCTAAACCAGTTTTGCATCTTTGTTGCTGCTTTATCTGTAGTAATTTGAAATGCTGGGGGTGGAATGCTTTTTGATGGAATGCCAGCAGAAAACTAAAGCCCAGCTTTAACCCTTGGGCTCCTCTTGTCATAGCTTTGTACCTCAGGATCGTGTTCTGTGGACTGTAAAAGTTCCTCACACTTCTCTGGCAGAAGTGAGGGGAGTTCAGGATGTGTGTCTTTGCCTGACAGGGGACACAGAGCTCTGAGGGTGTTTTTGCAGGGCCAGGGCGGTGTGAAGGGAGCTTCCAGAGCTGACGGGGTGCAGAGTGTGGGTCTGCGGCTGCTCTCTCCCTGCTATTTTTGCTGTGGGCTTTGTGTGCTTTGGGCTGTGTTTTCCTTTGGTGGGGGTTGCAGAGGAGCAAGAGGAGCTGATGCTGTCCTTACTGAGGCATTTCCAGGCTGAAAATTCAGCATTTATGCATTAGCCAAGATTCCTGGGATGGGGTGCTGGTACAGGACTATCCCAATCCACAAAAATGAGTCTCACTGAGAGCAAGCAGTCTTGGTGAGTGTCCTCCCTCCATGTTCATGGATCAGCCCTGGAACATGGCTCAGTGGTGGCTTTTTCTAAGCAAGTTGTTCCCATTATTTTTACTTTTTTTTTCCTTTTTTCTTCTTTTGCCTTAGTTCAATGTAACAACATCAGAGCATGGAAACTACGCCGTGAGCTAATGCTGCTCCCAAGCAGGAGTTAAAGCATGGCCATTCCCCTTTTCCATTTCCTTACTAACAGCTTCAGACCTTGGCATCTATCAAAATAGATGCTGGAGCCAAAAGCTAACAAAGGTGGAAATGATCTCTGCAGGGCAGGCTGCTGTTTCCTTTGATCTGGTCTCAGGCCAAGCAGATACAGCTCCAGCTTCAGCCCCTGCTCGTGATGTTTGCAAAGCGCAGTCACTGTACCCAAGGCTGGAGAAATGGAGAATTTCCCAGCCCAGGGAAATGTCTGTGCAACATGAAAACAAAACAAAACCAGGAAAGAGCAGATGTCCTAGAAGTGTGGGTTTGGAACGAATATGCATAAAAGGATGTTATTGTTGTGGGTTGTAGGGGTCACCTGTCCCTTGGGAACCAGCTTTAGCTTACAGGGACACAAAAGTCTGGAGGATCAAGAATTTGGCGGAGCTACACTTGAGCTGCAGAAATGCGGGGAAAGGCATGTGATGGGAGAATGCCAGCCCCTAGAACCCCATCTAAGGACAGTGGAAGCTACTGGGGATCAGAAATTCAAGCTTTGTGCATACTGGTTTTTGCACTGAGAGGAGAAGCAGAGCGTTCTCAATGTCCAGAGCCTCTGAAGGGCAGGTATAAGTCACCGGTGTCATTGCATCTGTGCAGGGTTTGGTATTGACAGAATTTTACTTATGGATCTTGCCCTAATGCAGTTAAGACCTCCTTGAGTTTGAAAAGTGCTTTGAGATCTTAAGATGGATTGGTCTTTCTAGAAAGACAAAACATTGCTATATTCACCTTCTTTTTCAAACCTTTTATTATAATTGCTCTCTGTGAGCACCAAATTCACAGGAAAAAAATGTATAAAGCATTAAAAAGTCATTGCTGTCTGTCTCCTTTCCCCCACAGATTGCTGAAGTTTCTCAATTTTGTACTCAGTTTCCATCACTTGGGAGACACATACATCAAGCCAATAGGATCCATAAATATTCTTAATCCCATTTTGCTGGCAATTTTTTCCTGCTTTAATCTAATGCAAATGGGATCCCAATTCATATGAGAAGCCACGCTTCTTGCCTTGGCAGAAATGCCCCCCCAACCCTAAATGAATCACACTTATTTCATGTTTACATGATCTCTAGACTTTGAAACCCTTCAAGGGCACCTCAAAATACACCCTCAGTTTCTACCAGTTTGCAGGCTCCGGAGGAAATACTGGAGGCTGTTCAGAACAACAGCCTCCAGGCAGGGATCGGGGTGTACTGGAGACTCATCTGGCAGTGCCAAAAAAAGGAAATGCTGTGTTTTGGGAGGGTTTCTCAAGCTCTCCCCAGCACAGAGGGTGTGGGGGGCTGGCAGCGTTGTGACGGCTGAAGCAAGTGGGATCAGCCAGAATGAAGCTGCAGCTCCC